TTTTCAAAATCCAAAATACTGCCAAACAGACGCTTTTGCTTCTCGTTCCGTAACTAAATCATCCGCGATCGTCTTGTCTGTCAGCTCGACTCGCTCTCCTCACTGGATAAATTAAAGCTGGTCTGTGATGCGACTGTCGTTCGGCACGCTGCATTGAGCAGCCGCGTTCAGTTTTTAATTAATTGTAGTGTCTGTTCTTTTACAACTAAATGATTTTTATTACTATAAAAAAATCAAAACGACGGTGGGGGTCGGTGCCGCGGTGGGCAAGTGACGTAACCGGTGTTGCGGCTTAACAACGGTATCACCGTCAGCACCGTCTATCGCGGCAAGCCTATTGTGAAGTCATAATGGAAATGCTAATGAGGCAACTGTTACCTTTCCATTGGTGCACTGTATGGATGTGAATCACTGTCATGGTGAAATACAGCTCTTGCCAAAATGCCCGTGCTGTTGTCTCCACAATACAGATGCTTGTTCTGACAAACCTGCCTAAATCGCGCCATTATCGCTATAGGCTCTGGTGTGACGAACCCATGATTCACAGGTGCAAACATTGACATGGTAATCTCTTCCGAGAGCCAAGTGTAAAGGACTGACTTCAAACAATAAAAGGAAGCTAAGAGGCGAATCGGTCTCATCTATTCAGTTCTTTGGCCAGGCTGCATAATAAGCAGAGTCCTGTCAGGCGTTGCAGAAAAGAGGGGAAAAAACACAAAGCATAATAAACAAAGCCCCTATTGCTTCTGTTCATGACAGCACTGCTGCTAAACTTTGAACAGTCGTTATTTACAGCATTCGGTTCCCTCTTCAGTGCAGCTGTCGCTATGACATAAAAAGAGAGAAGCGCACTTGCTCCGAGCCAGCAGTCAGCAGGGAACGGGGGAAAAAGGGGTAGGGAAAAGGAAGAAAAGAGAAGGGTGGTGGTAGTTAAGGGAGCAAAATCATACAAGATAAATCCAGTGATGTTTTACAGTTGGAGAGAAGAGGTGATTGTGCTCGTGAAAGTGAGGCCTAAAAGCCAGAAGGCTGCAGAAAGTTGCTTGCTCTGCAGATGCCAGATAACACCTCCAGGGGAATGTGCCTTGCACCTCCAGCATGTGCGAAGTCACACAAAAGAGCAACGTGAAGGACAAAACCAACCCTAGGACTGGGTTTTACAACTCCCTTTACAGCCATGCTAATATATTGCACCTCAAAACTGAGCTAGTACACATGTATGCTAAGGAGGACAGCTTAACTAGGATATTAGCTCTGTTATATGTAAGCAAAGTGCTGTTTATAATTCTGCACATGTTGTTTACCTTTGATCACTTTGTCCCTTTAGCCTCTACATGCAAATCATGAAGAGACTTCTATATCTTGACATGTTCGAGCACACTAGCAAAGCCCTGTTCACTTAAATTCATCACCATGTTTAAGCTAATTACAATTGTTGGACTGCATTGCTTAATCATATGTGATTCTAAGTTTGTTAGCCCTATTGGACCACCTAGCACTAATAATGCTTGCAAATCAAATGGAAGGAAAAAATAGGAGCGGAAATATGGTGAATGTGTTCAGACTGTGTAGATTGTATAGCTCTAATGGCTGCCTTATTCGTTTAGGGATGATTGCTCTGGTGCCAATGATTAATCCCTCCAGGACTTAATGGCGTCAAAGGGATACAAAAAAGGAAAGAGAGAAAAACAGAAGAACAGAATTGGAAAGCATAATTAATGGATTCAGATCCTGTTAAACAGCCCCCTTACAGAGCAGCTAGTAAAAACAGGGTGCGTGGAACCGGCACCAAATTTGTTCACACTTTGTTGTAGTAGTAAGATCCATGCCTCCCTCGTGCATTGGATTGGATAATTAACTCCCCTTTTGATTTATCATATGGGGGAGACGGCACTATACCGGCCTTTGCAAACTGCTATTTCATAAATTGCTTTTTTTCTCTTTGTACTTTTCTCATTGTCAAGACTGACAAACAAGGTTGGGAAGTGTAGATAATAAAGAAGAAGCAAATGTCAAAAAAAAAATGAGAGGGTGATGTTAATGTTTTGTTATAAAGGAAAGCTCTTAAGTGCACTTTTCTTGACATAAATGCATTACTCAAAAAATGTTTTAGGGAAAAAATCAAATGGTTCCGCAGCTAAAAGAAGAATAATTTTAAAAAGATTTGTCAGACCTATTCAGAAATCCTTTTGCTACAGTTACCTTCTTTCTTTCTTTCTTTTTTTTATGTTAGCTCTTGTAATTGACAAAACAGGCGCTTCTTTAGAGAACTCTGACTGAACGCCATTCTTAGAAACCGCTGTTTCAGAGAACCAGCATGCAGCGTGACTCAGGTCATGCTAATTTCCGTTGCTACGATGTGCTTCACCTTCCTGCTTTGTGTAATCCTGCCCAACAACTCCTTTGGAATGTGAAGATAAACCTTTCCTGCCATTGTCCCTTAGAGAAGCCGCCCCCTCCTCTTGGGTTAGTTGACACATTCCTTCAAAGGAGGCAGAGGGCCTTGGTTTAGTGAATGAGGTGCAATTTCCATTGTCTGTTTCCTTTTGCGAGTCTAGATGTTCTGATGCTGATTTATGTACTCATTACTCTTGCTCTTCTTTCTTTCAGAAACATGTGGAGACGCTGGTGAGGCGCTGCACCATAGAGTTAGCCTTTAGACTACGAGGACGAAGATTGAGCCTTCTGATACTTCTTTAAACTCTTAATTTTCTAACCTGTCGGGTCCCTCGGACAATGGAGGGACAGCAGGATTCAAAGTGGACTTTGAAACAAAGCCCTGGACATGGTTCCAAATTGTCCTTTACATGCTGGTTGTTAGTCTTAATCTTGCCTGGAGTGTGTTGTGAACAGTCCTTTACAACGTTTCACCCTGAGCGACGAGAATGGGCCTTCAATCACATGACAGTTCACAAGACGACAGGAGCACTCTACATTGGTGCTGTCAACCGTGTCTACAAGTTATCGGGAAACCTGACATTATTAGTATCCCATGATACTGGTCCAGAAGATGACAACAAGGCCTGCTACCCTCCACTTATCGTTCAGCCTTGCTCTGAACCATTGGTTTCTACCAACAACATCAACAAACTTTTACTTATCGACTACTCTCAGAACCGACTACTTGCTTGCGGAAGTCTCTACCAAGGTGTCTGCAAACTGCTACGGTTGGATGACCTCTTCATTCTGGTGGAGCCGTCTCACAAAAAGGAGCACTACCTCTCCAGTGTCAACCAGACGGGCACTATGTATGGAGTCATTGTGCCCTCACAGGGTAAGGATGGGACCCTCTTCATTGGTACAGCTGTGGATGGGAAGCAAGACTACTTTCCAACCATCTCTAGCCGGAAGCTTCCTCGTGATCCGGAGTCTTCAGCAATGCTAGACTATGAGCTACACACTGACTTTGTTTCATCTCTCATCAAGATTCCCTCCGACACCCTGGCGTTGGTCTCTCATTTCGACATCTACTACATCTATGGCTTTGCCAGCGGCAATTTCGTCTACTTTCTGACCGTGCAACCGGAGACGCCCGAGAACAGCTTGTCTTCCAGCGGGCCCTCAAACGACCTGTTTTACACCTCTCGAATCGTCCGACTCTGCAAAGATGACCACAAATTCCACTCCTATGTGTCATTGCCTATTGGTTGTGTCCGAAACAGAATTGAGTACCGCCTTCTGCAGGCGGCCTACCTGGGCAAGCCTGGACGAGTGCTTGCGGCATCCCTCAACATTAGCGCTCAAGATGATGTGCTCTTTGCTGTCTTTTCCAAAGGTCAAAAACAGTACCACCATCCACCTGATGACTCAGCCCTCTGTGTCTTCAGCATTCGGGACATCAATGCACGGATCAAGGAGCGAATGCAATCCTGCTATCAGGGAGAGGGGAACTTGGAGCTTAACTGGCTGTTGGGAAAGGATGTACCTTGTACCAAAGCGGTAAGAAACCTTTTTGTTATTACTAGCCACAGCAGCTAGCTTACTAATTAGCTTGTTAAACCAGCTTTGAATTTGAAGCATTGTTAGATGTAGTATCTGAAACCCTAATCATGGAAGCTCTTTACAAATTGTACTACTTTAAAGGGGTCATATGATGCTTTTTTAAAGATCATTATTTTGTGTATTTGGTGTAACAGAATATGTTGACATGCTTTAATGTTCAAAAAACACATTATTTTTCAAATACTGTACGTTATTGTAGGTCCTATATGTCCCGCCTCTCTCAAACGCTTCGTTTTCTACAAAGTCCCTCCTTCCGACAAGCGCAGCCTGCTCTGATTGGCCAGCTGACCCAGTGCATTGTGACTGGCCGAACACCACAAGCAC